TCGGAAACCCTCTACAGGGTCATTATGGGTTAGAACCGACTTGAGGGTGCTTAACAACCAAAACCATGAATCTCTGGGTGGTACAAACAGTTCAGCCTTTGACTGCCGACCGAAAGGGTGGAGGGTCAAGTCTATCCAGAGGGCCTCAGGAGAAAGGCCTGTGTAGGGACACAAACCGAAGGTTCCAAAATAACCACACCATGGTCACCTCAAACCCCCTCCTCCAGCTCTCTTGCTCTCCTGCTTTCGGTACGCAGATGCTAGGATGGTGTCTAGAACTTTCCTCCACTATGCTTGTGGAAACCCCTTTGTACTCTATGAGGGGACAGACATGCCACACCTTAGACTCTTCTATGTCTAGTTCCGGATACCACCCTTAACTGCCCTTTTCCTGTGAATACCCCGTGATAAAAAGGCCCTTTCCCTTTGCCCCTTGTGCAGTAAAACGTCACGATCCAACCGGTCACCACTGGACTCAGCCGGGTTTGTCCTTTGTAGGTCAATTCCCTTGTCAGTAAACCATCTCCTCTATCCTCTTTTAGTATAAACTATGGTTTTTGGAATGAGTCCTAGTCATTTTTCCCATCTTCTTGGCATCTATGTACTCAGAAGGCTTTCCCCTTTGGGGTCTGAACACCAACACCTGGTCATCGATTCAGCAAAATCATCCATTGAAAACCCTTTGGACCATGGTTCCACTGTGCCCATACAAGGGCCCACTCAATGACATTAGAAGACTGGGACCACCTCCTGAACACACACCCTCAAACAGAGCTCCTTTCTGATAATGATGCCATGTGTTCAGATACCAGGCAGGTGTCCTGTGTAGCCTCAGGAACAGAGGTGTATCTTAGGTGTGTCAGGAATGGCATGTGCTCTGGGAGAACCTTGACAGAAGGCCCCACTGAGCACTTTCTATGAACCATTGCGGTCTCCATTACCAGCTCTGTGAAGACTTCCCTGTTGGAGGGCTTCCGTGGGTCAAGGCAGGAGTGCTGTTGTGTGCTGTGGGATAAGCACTGGACTGCTAACTGCAAGGCTGAGAGTTCAAACCATCAACAGCTCTGCGGGAGAAAGATGAGGCTTTCTGCTCCTGTAAAAATGTCCCACCTCAGAAACCTTGTGCAGGATTGATGTGCGAAGGAACCAATCAGATGAGAGTGAGAGAAATGGGTCAAGACAGACTGATTTTGCTCCACTGAGTGTAGAAACTGAAGAAATGAGAAACAATGACTTTGAGCCCATCAGAGACCAATTTTCATCAATGAAAGCAAGGAGGGTACAGTTGTGATTTTCATTTCATGCCATTATGTGGTTGATAAAAGGATGTCATGCTGGGTAGGGTGGAGGGTCAGAGAAGAAGAGGAAGACCCCCAACGAGATGGATCAGCCAGGTGGCATCATTGATGGACTCAGGTGTGGCAGCGGTAGTGAGGTTGGCCCAGGATTGAACATTGTTTCGTTCTGCTGTGCATAGGGTCACTATGAGTCGGTTCCGACTCAATGGCACCTGACAACAACAACAAAAGGTTAATGAGCTTGGCTCACTTTTTTGAGTGGCTGTGAGGGTGTGTTGTGGTGGTATGCCATCAATTTGGTTCCAACTCACAGTAACCATGTATCGGGCCTCCGAGAGCGGCTGGTGGGTTTGAACTGCAGGCCTGGTGGTTGGTTACCAGTCCAGTGCTGAGCCTACAGATGGGTGTCAGCCGATTGGACAGAGCACAGTTTCAGTGATTGTCATAGATGCTGTTTTGCACACATACACCTCTGTCCTAGGGCAGCTGTCTCCCAGCCGGCTGTGGTTCTCTTCCACCTCAGATCCAAGCAGATTAGTATGGGGTGGTTAAAGGGAAATCATCAAACAATATCATTAATATCACATGCTAGAAAATTTTTACTAAAAATAATTAAAAATCAGTTGCAACAGTTCATCGCCAGGGAGTTGCCAAAGATTCAAGTGTGATTCAGAAAAGGCAGTGGAACTAGGGATACCATTGCTGACAACAGGTGGGTGAGAACGTCACAGAGATATTCACCAGTGCTTTATTGACTATGCAAAGGCTTTTGACTGTGTGGATCACGACAAATTACAGGTAGCATTTCAATGAATAGGTATTCTAGAACAGTTGATTATGCTCTTGAGGAATGTGTACATAAATCCACAGCAAGTCATTCCAACAGAACAAGGAGACACTGAATGGTTTAAAATCAGGAAAACTGTGCCAGGGTTCTATCCATTCACCATGCTTTTCAATCATATGCTGACCAAATGATCCTAGAATCTGGGTTACCTGAAGATGAATGTGGGATTAAGATTGGAGGAAGATTCATGAATAGCCTGTGATGCACAGATGATACAACCTTGCTTGCTGAATGTGAAGAGAACTTAAAATACTTACAGATAGTGAATAATTGTTATCAGAACTGACTGTGAGGGTTGGAAATGTAAAGGT